TTGCGAAGTGCCGCTCCGCCGCCGCCGCCGGAGCCTCCCCGGCACAAAGGCCCGTTGCCCTCGGAGAGGGGGGGAGGCTTCCGGCCGTGGCGTGGAGCGGGCTTGCCCGGGAGCTTCAGCCCCTTTTCAGGGCGCTTCTGGAAGTGCAGCTCTGCCTCGCGAGCGCTAGCTTCGCGGATCCGTCGAGTGCGCCTCCCTTAAATGGCTGGTTTGCGTTAATTGAAGCTGTTTCTGCCCATGCTGCTTTCCCTGCTCCTCCCCAGTACTTGGAGGAGGGAAAGGCGGGAGCTTGCGCGGGTGGGCTGTTTGAATGGCACGCTGAAGCACAAAGGCCTACCAGTCACAATAGTTTGTTGCATTCATCTAATAAATTTGAATATGCTGAAGCTGCGGTGGAAGGATAACTGCTTCTGGGTTTGCAGCAAAGTTCTACGTGTGTCTGGCACTTGCTTGAAAGCAGTTAGCTTCTGCTAGGACGAGCAGCTACAAGCCTTGTCCCTGTTGTCCAAAGTGAAAAAAGACACTTAAACCACTTTTTCTGCCTAGCAGGAATAACTGAAAGTGTGTGGTATATACTCCCTGTATTTGCATCACTGCACATCTTATTCTTACAATACTTGTTTCTCTTCCTTTTTAATTATTTTTTTACTTGATTGTTGAATAGACTACACTTGGTAGAAGCTTCTTTGGGCAGATGCTGCCTGGCTTGTAAGTCCTGCTGGGTTGGCTGTGAGCACTGCTTTAACCATTTTTACATGGTTGTGTCTACAATAATTGGAGCACTTTCTGAAGTGCTCTCTAGAAGTTCAAAATTGGAGTGATACAAACCATGTGGTATCATGTTCAGTGTCCTGCTACAACTGTGCTTTAAAAGAAAATCCAAGAAAACCCAATGTATGCATCAGAATAATAAAGAGTCCATATCGGGCTCTTCCAGATAACCTGCTCCTAATGCATGAACGTTTATGGCTCTTCCCTTGTTTTGGTTTTCTTTTTCCTAACAATAAGATTTATACCTATAGGAAAACATAATAGTTATTAATCACACTGATTTTTGCCCTGTCACCTAGGCATGCATTCAGTAGGGCAGGTAATATTGGAGGGAACTTCTCGCAGGCTTCTGAACTTGTCACTTTTTTGCACTTCTATGGTAGGAGAGGAGGAGCAATTTTTTTTTTCCCCCCTCAAGGTAAAGTAATGGGAAGTTCCCAAGGAAATGTTTGAGATGTATTACATTAGTTCTACAATACAGATGGTCCCAATGGCACTAATTTTAATAAATTCCAGGCCAGTATCTGATAGGGATATTGTAAAGTGCCTGAAGTGACAAACAATTTAAAGTCAGAAGCCCAAATAATTTCTGCCTTCAAGTTCTAAAAGAACTGGCTTACATGTCTGGCTCATTGATATTTTTTTCTAAAAACTGATTATTGGGATAATTTCAGAATATATGATTCCCCAGCACGATTCTGAGAGACCAAATACTGAATTCACTCAGGTATGATACAGTTCTGTAACTCCTAGTCAGCTCCGTTTTATCTGTGTTCTCTTAGGTTTTGTCAAAGAAACCCAGCTTTTTTAAAATACTGAGTTTAATTGAAAGAGAGGAAGATGTGTATGTAATCAGATACCACAAATGTAGTTTGCAAGACACTCTCATGCTAAAATGACACACTGACTGAACTGGCTGGTGCACCTGGTCCATTATTGTTAATAAGGGATGCTTAGTCGAATGCTCCCAGGAAATCAGAGTTGCAAGTCCTGGAACCAAGCCTTGTCATCAGTGACCAGCAAATAAGAACGATAGTGCTGGAAAAAGTACTTTATAATAAAGTTTGGCAGAGTCTATTTGGACTCTCTGGTAAGACATGCCTGTTCAAGGACAATGCACTTAGGAACAGCCAGATACCAGCCCCCCTTGGGAAATTCCTTTCAAATCTAGTATCCCCTGGCATACATGAAAGTGGACTTAAATGGTCTAGTCTCCTTTGTATGACTTCTCTTACAGTGTGTAGCTCTGAATTCCCTTCTTTTTCCATTTCTGATTGGGAAAAGTCTTGCTGCTTCTCTTTCTCTGTATAACTTTTTTCTGGGCTTCTCTGAATCTCCTTTTACCATGTTATTTGAGACACAATTTAAAGAACTGAAAACTCTATTCCAGGCATGGGAACACTATCAGTCATGGTGTAAAAATTTGTACTGTTTTCTTATAAGTTCCTTGTAAATCATAATATTTGCCATTTTTCTGTCACTGCCATTTGCACACTGAACTGGTATCTTCACTGATCTGTCCAAAGTGTGGGTCAGGATTTTTCTGTCAGCAGCTGATCAATTTAAGCCCAATAATATGCTTTGGTATCTGTTTCCAGTGTCTTATTCTGCAGTTGCCTCCATGAATATTACATGTTGTGTATCAGCATTGAAAATGTTGGATCCAATTAGCAGCACTGGAAGTGGTATTTTGTAGCGTGCTTGCGAACTTTCTGTGCTGTGTAACGTGTTAATTAGATCATAGATTGTGTACACTTCAAAAATTTTGCTTGTTGTTTGCTCAAATTACTTGCTGTAGCCAAGTGAAAAATATTACAGAAATAATGCAAGCCACAGACTGTACAATCATCTAAGTCTTTCCTGCAGAAGAATAAGCTTACAGACTCTGACATTTGGAACAGTTATCTGTGCCATAATTACTGTTTCAGTAGACTCACTGAAGAATGAAAAATCAGTGCATCTGTTTTGCAGGAAATAATCTTGAATACTAAGTGCAGATTTGTTGTATAATTTGTGTTCCCTTGAAGTTGAATGAATAACTCAAAATAGCTATTTGTGTTAAAATCTTTAAGGTGAGACTGGCAGCAAAGTTAAGTTGGACTCCCTCCTTGCTCTTTAATTAGAGTATTTAAAAATCATACTAACAGCTTGCACTTGGAATAAAATAAGTAAATGCACTAATGGCATAGCTTTTATACATTGACTTTATTGCTTTGTTTTTGTGCTTAAATAGAAACTACTATTTCCATGGTATTTTTTTTTTCAACACAATAGCTGCTTTACTGATGATTTTACACATTTTAAAGTTACGTAAGGATTGATAGGACTGATTGGAAACAAGACGTATTAACACAGCTTACATGAACAGTAAATGCTATTTGGAAAATGTCTGTGTCCTTGGTTGCTAGTTCAGTGTTTTAATATTATGCTTCTTTTTAGTGCTTCATTCAGATAAATAACTTAATTCAAACAAAAAATCATTCAAATTTTACAAGTAACCTGTTTTTTTCTGGTTTTGTTTTTCAGTCTCACACAATTCTACTTGTCCAGCCTACCAAGAGGCCAGAAGGCAGAACATACGCTGATTATGAATCGGTGAATGAGTGCATGGAAGGTGGGTGCAGACATGGTAGTCAAAAAATGTTGTTAAAACCCCATTTTTGACATATTCCCAAACTTACTCACTAAGAAAATAAGTTGCTGGTCATGTTTTCCCAGGGTAATTCACAAAAAAATGCAAAAATCTCATGCTTTTAGTTTACTAATGTTTTAGCAAACTAAAAAATAGTTATTCTGCATATCTAAAACTTCCTTTTTATATTAAATGTATCTTTTTGATTTAACTAGATTGAACCACATTCAGTTCGTGAGAGTAGGCCATATTCTTGGTGGGGCCATGCAGCAGACTTGCCTGAATGCATTTCATTGCAGGATCAGAGCCTAACTCTCTCACTAATTTTTGTGCTAGTCATGTAAAGGAAAGATTGCTACTGGAAATAATAAATAAAATAAAAGTATGTGTGTAATTCATACATAATTTGCAGCCTCGTGGCATGTGTGCCAGAGAAAAAATCCTGCATGACTTTAAGAGACACATGGTAAGCTTGGAAAAAAGATTAAAATACTACAGCTGTATGATTTAAATGTGGAAGTTCACTTGACATTAAAAATTCTAATTCCAGGAAGTTTTGCGAGGCAAACGAAAGCATAATGAAGACCCTGTAAAGCCTCCATGCTCACTTTAATATTACATTCTTCTCAAATGTATCTGAATTATTTATGGGCTAGCTTAAATAAAATTGATTTTAATTCACATACAGGCTTGTGCTGTCACTCTTACCTCAGTAGCCCTGTTTGACTCTTTCCTCAAGAATGATCTCTCTTCTGAGATTTGAGTGGTTTTATTTGACATTAGTTCTTCTCTTTCTCAGGTACTTGTACTGTAGGAATACATGTTGCAATTGCTGTCTTAAAATTATTGGAAGGAATTTCAGGTTTCCATTGAAGTTTACTGCATGGGAAGTTCCATCTTTGCCAGACCTAAAACTTTTTCCTCTAGATGCTTCTGTCCATGCATCTCACCTGATTTTATAGTATTAGTATTATATTTCAATGCAAATAGCTAGAACAAAAGCATTTCAACTCTGCAAAATCTGAGTAAGAAGTTTATGTCTCTGTTTTCATGGTGGTCATCTCTAAACTTTCCTGCTATCTGTGGTTCAATAGCTGAAGAAGTTTCAGCAAATACAGTTGTTGTTTTTTTATTATTGCATTGTTAATCTTTTTTCTCTGTAGGAGTCTGTAAAATGTATGAAGAGCATCTGAAGAGAATGAATCCCAACAGTCCATCCATTACATATGATATCAGCCAATTGTTTTTTCATGGTGATCATCTCTAAACTTTCCTGATATCTGTGGTTCAATAGCTGAAGAAGTTTCAGCAAATACAGTTGTTGTTTTTTTATTATTGCATTGTTAATCTTTTTTCTCTGTAGGAGTCTGTAAAATGTATGAAGAGCATCTGAAGAGAATGAATCCCAACAGTCCATCCATTACATATGATATCAGCCAATTGTTTGACTTCATTGATGACCTGGCAGACCTCAGCTGTCTTGTGTAAGTTCAGTTGTGCAAGTCCATTTCAGTGACTTGGAGAAGTCAGAAGTCTTCCATGTAAACTCTCACATGTTTTATGTTAAATCTGGTAAGATTCTGGGTTTTTTTCCAATAACTGTGTTAGTAAGGCAGCGGTATTGCAGCTGGCATGTCATCTTGCACTCCAATTAACTGCATTGGAATAAAGTATCTCTAAAGAAAGCTTAGAAACTGACAGGTCCACTTGGATTTAGTCACATTGAAGCTCCCAGCCTTTCAAATACTGAAATCCAACAGTTTAATACAGCTACATATTTTATTAATGCTAGAATCTGTTTAAATTGGGGCTGAATCTGCCTTTGTGCAGTTGGTCTGATTCTTAAGGAGGCAGAATGATTACTGAATTTTATTCAGCTGAGGGCTATACTAGTGGTACAGTAGAAGTGTATAGAAGCGCATTGCAGCCAATTGTTTATTTTGATCAAGATAGGGCAAGATGGAAGTTTCTGTAAATCCTAATGAAGTGACTGAAGAACAAGTCAATCCGCCAGAGAGCCCTAGCTAATTGTTTGAGTGTTCTTGTGAATACATGGTCTCCAGTTCACATCTGTGTGTTAAAGTTGTGGGCAAGCAAAGGTGGTCTTGCGTGCTTTCCATTCTGACTCTACTGTGAAATCAAATGTTAAATTTCACTATTCAGAATGTAACTTAACGTTGTAACTAAATCACTTAGTCCAGATCACGAGTACTTTCCATACCATAAATTTCAAGGTAATGGTTTGATATGACAGTGGTATCAACTTTGCAGAAATTCCGTAGGAATAAGGATACAAATCTCATATTCAAATAACAAAAGACATAGTATTTGGCTTTCGAAGCTCAAAATTCCAGAAACTGTTTTTAAGCCGGTGAGTATCTGGAATGCGGCTGTACTGCTCTGTCTGAAATCCCAGTGCAAGTACTTTTGCAGCTGCACAGTGAACAACCTTTGCAGTTAATTCCAGTTTAAAGTAAAAACCTATTTTAAAAAAACTGACCATCGGATTGCTTTCCTTCGCATTCTGATGTACATACAGAATCTATGTTACTGATAGTGACTTAATACAAATGCCACTTACCAAAGTTTTCAGTAGAATAAGTAAAACGGGTTTACAGTTTCTGCAGAGTTAACCTTGTTCCTAGACATTCTGCCACGTTTGATCTTCAGGTTTCATAGTGCTGGGCTGATGCAGTCTGAAAGACACACTTTGTTTTAGTTTATCTAACAGCCTGAAGCTAGCTACTTGCTTTAGGAAGTAGCAACTGTTTTCTAGTACAGTCTTGTGCCTTTCTTAATTAGGCTTGTCAACTCAGTGTCGTGCCAAATTCTACTTCAGTTTATAGTTTTCCACCAGATGGCACACGTAGCACGTAGTGTACCAGACATGTCTTGTGTTCATGGAGATTTCTAAAGTACTTGCTATCTGGTCTCGCCATGTAGCATTATGAATGGATTAGGGTGGGGGCGGAAATCAGTAACTTTTCCTGAAATTAACATTTCTTATACTGCACTGGAAATACTACTATATCAATATATACTGAAACTCTTTCTGTGGCCTTGAACCAGTCATGCTGGGTTTTAAATTACAAGGCTTTCTTAGAAACAGTATGCTTAGGGTTTTTTCCTTAGGTAAGAACTGTAAATTTTTCTGGATTGAGTTAACTCTGGATTTTTACTTAGCTTTTTACCGATGACCATCTCACCCTTCTTATCTGATTAGAAATAGGTGTACCAAGATTTAAAGACTGACCAGGACTTCAGTAGTTCTTGAAGCATTCGCTGAAAGTACCATCTTCCTCAAAAAAAACATTCAACTTTAACGACTAAGGGGGAAAGGAGGGCATGAATCTACACAGATGACTTCACGCAATTTGCTTTCATTTTTCAGTCTAATTCTCCTTCATTTCAACAGTGTCTTGAGTAACTGAGTTCTCTGGCCCTGGCAAGAAATCTTGCTAGTGGACTACTTTTATCCACTATCCCCGAGTAGCAAAGAAAATGAGTCTGTGGGTTCTTTTTTTCAGTTTGCTTTTTATGAAGTGTCCTTGTTTGTTAGATGTAAGCTTGCCGTCACTGCCAACTGGCAAGAATCCTTTGTTATCCACCTATGAGTCTACCTTTGCTCCTGGAAAATTTTGCTTTTATTCATTTTCTAAAAATTCCAAACAGAAGTGGAACACTTGAAAACTCACATGAACACTTGCTTGAAGTAGTGTTGAAGAAGTGTTTGGCTCATCAAAAAAAGTAGATTGTTTCCTGGTGGAACTGTTCTTCATTCAGAATCCAGAATATTAGGGTCCTCCATTTGTTGTCTCCCATAAGTAATTATATTCATGAATTAAAATGTGAACACACTATGATCCCATCACTCAGTAGTCCTTGGAGCATCTAGTTTTATTTCAGATTCTTACTGATCTGCTGGGTAACTGGTTTTTAGGGAACAGGATACATCTCTTTGATAAGTGGCAGTTCCCATCTACTTCTGATATTACTTGTGTTCTATACACAACTTGCTGCCTCATACACTTGAGGATGCTTAACTGTTTGTGAAGTTCTTCTGGTAGATGTACTACAGGACAGACTGATATTACATTAATTCTTTTCTTCTCTCTAGTTACCGTGCTGATACTCAGACATACCAACCGTACAATAAAGACTGGATAAAGGAGAAGATCTACGTCCTCCTCCGCAGGCAGGCCCAGCAAGCAAGCAAATAATGGGGGCACCATCATTACTTGGGTTTGGGGGAGGGCTTGGACAACAGGTGTGTACAGAGTGTAGTAGTGAACGTTTTGTATTATAGTCATCCTGTTGCCATCTTGTTAAACTCTTTAGCCAGGATTGAATGTATTGTTAGAGATGCAAGGATTTTGTTGGATTTGACTTTTTTTCAGTGTAAATTGAGAAGAAAGTACATCATCTTCAGCAGAGTTTTAATTTGTTTTTTCCTCTGGTTAGCTGACAGTCCTACCTTATTTGAACCCCTGGGGCTGTTCACCTTGTACTTCGCCACATTCACTGTATGTGCCCTTCTGTGGGGTTTCCAACATTTAGTTATGTCCTTGAGACAGTCTTAATGGGGAATAAAAAAAATTACCCTTTAGTTAAACTTGAGTGTTGAATTTTGTGTTTTCCGCCAAACAACAAATTAAATCTTCTTGCCTGTTTGCCAAAGAACAGGGCTTGAAAGGTTACGTGGACTGAACCAACAGCGGTTTGCTGTATTACAGAATGGCTCAAATTCTGGCCTGCCGAGTTAACTTCTCTGGCCTAGTCTTGATTACTGTCTTTCCTGGGGATCTTTGGGAAACACAGCAACCCTCTTACACTCTAAACTTGATCCTTCTACAAGGCATTTATATTCAGGTAACTGTGTCTGCTCTGGGATGGGTAAGAGCAGGCTGAATTTATCACATCACAGACCCTATGAATTAGTCTATTTCCAACCTTCCCCTGACGGGGAAGCAAAGCAGATTGTTTTGATGGGAATCTGCCCCAAACTGCATTTTCTCTGTACAAAGGATAAGGACTTAACTGCTTGCACACACTGTAAAATTGTATCTGCCCCTGGATATCTTGAACGCTGATGTCTTCGTAATTTTTGCTGTACTGAAAACGTTTGGATTGGAGGACACGTTAGACCACAAAATACAACAGGTAGAAAAGCAAGGCTGGCTTGGTACTTTGTGCTTTTGCGTTAGGCTAGAGTTTGTCTACTATAGGTACCGATTTGAGTCTCAGACTATACTGGTATACTCAACTAGGAGCAGTTCCAGGATTAACAGAGGAATGTAGTTCCCTCCAGTGCACTTAACTTCCTAATACACATCAATAGTTTCTGATGAACCTCACAGCAAATGGATTGGCTTAAAAGAATCTGAGGTCAAATTGGCTGCCTGAAGTGAAGCTATTTTCATTAAAGCTTCACTTAAGTGATAAGTAATAGCTGCTGAAAACTTGGAATCAAATTACTGAAGAGAGAGAAATTCTTAGAAAGATATCAGGAGAGGGTGTTAAATTTTTTCCCAACACTAATACAAATTGGAGATTAGACCTACTAGCTCTACAGTTGTAGTGACCCAGAATCGATTCAATCTGCTAACGTAAAAACGTGCTGCCTTTATAATAAATAGTGATTTTCAAAACATAGTAGGTCAGAAGTAGGTTAATCCACTTAAGGTTACTTAAGTAAATACTTTTGTATGGAAGTTTTATATTCAAATGCAGCTTGACACTGTAAGTAAAACCTACAAAATTCACTATTGCCCCATATAATAACATTCAGGTTTAATGTAAGCAATGCTATTTAAACAGCTTGTATAGCTTATCCCCCTGTATAGCAAGTAGTAAAATAATGTATTCTTTCCTAACATGTTTGGATTTTACTTCTGGTAAATATTTACAATTTAAAAAAAAAAAAAAATCCAATATTCTCATGGTGGATCATTCAAGGTGCTAAGTAGGATGTGATTTTGCAGTCTTTAAATGAAGCCAAATAAACATCCCTTCTCACTTCCTGTCACATTAAAAATAGTGACTTAATGTTTTCCTTATTCTGTGAGCTTGTTTTTTCAATTTAAAGAAGACCAGCAATGTGGGCTCTTTCCATATTGTGAAAAGTGCAAGGAGCATGCTGAATCTATAGTAATCAGGAATTTGGAACATAACACAGCTTTTCCTTCAAAGCTAACCCAAAGTTCAGTCTGATAAAAAAATCTCCCTCTTGGTTTTGGCTCTAGTATAATAACTGTGCAAACTACGACCAGTAAACAAGTACAAAACATAGATTTCTCATGTTAGAGCACAAAATGGGAAGAAGGTGCTTTAAAGCAGGGGGTAAATGTTTCTCCTTTATGAAAAGGACTTTGTGAAGGTATGTTTTTTGGAAAGGTAAAAAAGCTTTAACTTCAAGATTAATTCACAGTTTTTTTTTTTTTTAAACACTTAAACTTGTGTGGTCATCTCAGTAATGGAAGTTTTCACGGAATTGGAAAATGCAAGTAAATATTCCTTTTATACCTCTGGAGCTGGACTTGGTCTTCTGCTGATAAAAAGATGCTGCCTGTAGACTGCTTTAAGAGAAGGCACTTAGGCATCATCTCTCTTTTCCCCCTTGTCACCCAGCTACACGTCTTTTTCTTTTTTTTCCTGAAATAAGCTACTAGTTAAAACTCTCTAGTGCATAGCTCTTGAGCTGCTGTTCTCTATATTCCTTTGGAGTTGCCTTTTACTTGATTAACTATTCATGAAACAACAGATTTGTTGCTTAACTGAGCAGCTGGCTGAATACACTGGAAGGAAAAAACATGCTGCAGCATCTACATGATGTGCAACTGGTTAGAAAGAAGACTCTGGAAAGGTGTCTCCAACTAATCAATGCCTTCAGAAATATAGTGAAGAGGGTTGAAAACATACAACATGCTAGTAGATTGGCACGCTAGTAATGTAGTCTGCGTTAGCAGGCCAGGTGAAAAATTACTCTCCAGTTTGCTTCTTGGCTCCTTTCCAGTAAAGGATGACAGCGGTGCGTTTAGGACTTTCTCCAGTTGCACTGTCCTTAGAGGCGTAAGACAGCACTTCTACTAAGACATGTCAAACATTTGCCTGAGTTCAGCTACTTTAAAAGTGAGGTTTGTCAGCAGCATTTTGCAAATAAAGTTGTAAACAAATTGCATGATTATAGAAAGTACGTTAGAAAAGAATCTGTCATCCCATGCATGCTTTCCGTGTGGCAGACTGTCTGGTGCTTCCTGCATAAAGGATAGGTACAGTAGCAGTGTTGGTCATACCTGCTACAGTGTGGGAGGAAATGATAAAGTAAATTATATTAGCTGTTTCTGCAGGAGAGTGGGACAGTATTGTACAACAGGGATAAAGAATGAAATTCAGAGACCGAGTACTTCCAAGCGTGGAAACACTTAATACATTTTTTTTAAAGCAAGTCCGTTAAGCAAGTCTAGCTCGGTTCACTGAGGTGTATGAGTCCTCATCCATCGCCAGGAGTACAGAGCAACTGAGGTGCTTGCCTGACTTCAGCTTGGCTTGCGGAGCCATGAAACGTGCTGCGTCTTTTCTAATCATGGAGTAGACAAGTCCTCATGCAGTCTGTGGACTGCCTGCTACTGATTTCAGGTTGAGGCATGACCAGAATGGTACAACTCATTTCTTGGCATGGCTATTCGCTAAGTAAATACCAAGGTGAAGTTCTGCGAGATGGCTGAGCTGACGGAACAGCCATCTGCTGTTGAAAGGCATAATACTACTCCACCCTATGTACAAAAGAGACAGGGGGTGTTGTGGGGAAGGGGAGAACAGGACTGCAAATCAGCACCAACAAGCAGAGTAAAAAATCTCATCTGAGGCTTTGAGAACAAGGTCAAGCACGGTAGATGCTGTTGCAGAAAACAGTAGATAAATTGTTGTGTGTATATATATAAAGGACCAGTTTATCTATCATTGCATGTTCTTGCCAGTCAGTAACGCACTGGGGCAGGGGAGGATGCCTGACACTATTCTATCGCTTACTTTAATTAATTCTTTGGTACCGGCCAAAATCTTGCAGCCAGTTCAAGGATGTAGGTCTGGTGTAACCCCACTAGGATTAGAATTTGAGTTCTGTTTGACACCACAATTACAACAGGATCACTCTCTTAGAGGAATCTCACTCTGCAGCCTCCTTCAGTATGCTGAAGGGGATTATGAAAAGCAAAATTGAGTTTGTATTCCTGCTTTGAGGGTGAAATAAGCTAGGTAGTTAAAATACTTGTCTACAGTTTCTTCCATCATCATGTTCTTTTAAAATAGACTGAAATCATGACATCCATCACAACACATCATAAGCGCAGCAGGAAAGTAGCACCCCTGTCATTACATCAGTCTGTTCTCGTGCTTAACATCACTGTCAGGTACAGCGGGGAAAAAGAGTAGATAGCAGCCAAGACCACCTTGTTATCTTTGTTAGTAATTAATATATGTGCTTTAGAAAAACCTGTTTACAGCAAGAGGAGACTTCGCCACTTGCAGTATTTTTTAGGTTGGAAGAACCACCAGATTTTTCACTTGCCTTAGAAAGAGGTAAGAAAGTTGCAAAGTTGCTGGTTGTGATCTCATTTCCATATGTCAAGCAATGAGCTGGTTTGTGATGCACTGAAAGCAAGGATGCTCCTTAGGATGACTTACTCTCAGAGGGGGGAGGGGAATGCTCCAGCTACTTTGCTTTAGAGTACATAAACAGTTATGTACATTTGCAATTCCCACTGAGTAACGGCCTGATTGTACTGGAACTCTGCTATGTTGGAAACTTAATCCATCAACAAAGCTAATAAACAGTGAAAAGTTAAGGGTAGCTGGATTACATGTACGAAGTAATTTCAAGCTCCTGTTTTTCAACTGCTATGAAGCTGTTAAGTGTCTTTTAGACCCTGGAGAGCATTAAAACAAATAAATTATAAATTCTCTGTCTTACCATTATCATGGGCGGGGGGGGGGGGGCGGGGGGAGGAAGTATTTGCAGGGCCAGGGAGTATAATTTAGCAATTATCCAGCGGGAGATGGGGTGTGGCTGAGGCTGGTAACTGACTCTGAGATTCTCAGCCTCACTGAGCATCTGAACCACTCGCCTTAGGTACCCACTTTCCCTTGAAGTCTGGAATGCTGACTTCAGTATTTGTCTCAAGATAAAATGATAAATAACTTGTACTAGCTATACATAAACTGTAAGAGTAAATCTGTGGAAACAGAAAATTATTTTAAAGCTCTGCCATATTAGTCAATTCTCTGAGGTTTTCTACGCTGTCTTGTCTGCTATAATGTCACTTAGTTTTGGCTAAATATAACGTACCATTCGCTGAAATAGCAGGGGAATGAATTTGCCACTGAAATACACTGAATGGAGACGTTTGGTTTTGTATAGTACAAGGCAGCTCTTTATTCTGACCCATTAATAAATGCTTCATCCTCACTATGTCCATGAAGGATTGAAGTTAAAGTAAGTCCCATCTGGATTTGTTACAGGGAAGCATCGTATTTTAGCAATTAGTTTTCTCATTACTGTAGTCTGAACTATGCCTGTATGAACAGTTTATCTGGATGAGGCTTGGGCACAGCTCC